GAGAGCAACTGGGGTCAAGCGAAGGAACGGCGTTTGTCCGGTTCTCTCCCGCGCACGAGAAACATGAAGAACTTTGGCTACTTCGTGTCTTGCTTGCTGTGTAATTATATTGTCTTAAACGTTTCAGCGAATAGGTTCAAGCTACAAACCTATCAACAACCTTCTTTTAGATAACTTTCATTGACACTGAATCCACAATGAAAAGTCATTCGCAGGCATACTCAACCATAATAGAGGGAGCTGCCAATAAGAAGAAAAAAGCTGAAGATATTGTTAAGCAAAGACACTACAATAAAATATATTGTAGTTATACACAAAATCATTTCTCTTAGACTTCAGTTAAAGCTCACATTGTGAAATATGTTGAATGTTATAAATATCTTAGAACAGTGTTGATTCAAAGCTTTATTATGAGGTATTTAAGCTGTGTGCAAAAAGGGGAACCAGCAATATTCATGTTTGTTTCTCATTTTCACAGCGATTAAACCATGATGATTAGTGTTGTGTTTTGGATATCTGTAAGAAACAGAAACTTAGTCAAACTGTTAAGTGGCCCAATTGGCTAAATGGTGAATCACCAGCTGAACCAAGCACCCATACAAACAAGTCGTGTACAGCAACGGCAGGTCGATGTTTCTTGAAGATTCACATCCTTTGTAAAATAGCCAGCCATTATTTTTAGCCATTTATTCTTTTTTTTTTTCTTTTCTTTCAGTGAGTCTTTGTTTTTCAGTATCTTGTACTGTGGGCAATGTCGGAATTGATATTTTTTGTATTGTCATTTATGCTTAGAAATATATAATCATTTGTATGCCGATAAAGTATCTTATCCTTATTAGGTCTGATAAGAGTCTGTGTGCACTTGTGCACCATGAGATGAGCGGAAGCAGACTTGACATTATAATTTCCATTATAGCTGTAGAAACCAGACTGTCTTGTTCGTTATCTTAAAGTGTAAGACTTCACACCTTTAAATGTCCTACTGCAAGTTCATGTTTTTATATTTTAGCAAGACGCTTACTTCTGCTTTTCTTCATACCTCATACACACAGTTTAAGTTAATTGAAAGGTCGTATGTGACCCTGCGACAGACTGGCGACCTTTCCAGGGTGTACGCCGCCTCTCGCCCTATGACAGCTCGGATAGGCTCCAGCGCCCCCCGCGTCCCTGAAAAGGATAAGCGGAAGCAAATGGATGGATGGAAAGGTTGTATGTCTATGTAAGGTATAGCTGGAAATACACACACACACACACACACACACACACACACACACACACACACACACACAGAATATAGACACTGATGTTGCTTAAGAATGTCACGCAATGTTCCCTCTAAGCTGCGCGCGTGCGCAATAGTGCACTGTTGGCACGGTCTCTGCGCAGAAAAAATGTGCGTTGCGCACAGATTCTAACCTGAATTGAAATTAAAGTAAATATGTGCCACCGGTGACACCGGTGTTTTAGCTAGCAAAGGGGCTGACGTGGACTGAAGCCACGTTAATGACAACGTGTACAACCACTGGAGATGTGAGCAGGACAGACGGAACAATTGATGGAAAACTTGTGGACTTTACACCAGTTTTTAAATTGTGTTGACAGGCCACAAAAAAACCAGAGTTGTGATAAAAAAAAAATGCAATGTTTGGTTTTCCTGGATACTACCGTTGTTCATATTTACTGTGGGAAGAAACGCTAAAAACTGTGTTTTTTTTTTTAAAGGAAAACGCCCGAACGCACTCTCCGCCTGTGAGTAAAGACAAAACCAATACACCCCCTACCGTTTCCCATTGCTGGAAAAATGTACCATGTCGACCAATCAAAACATGGCATTTAGTTGTTAAGATACAGGAGGAAGTTTTAGGAGTGACGGCGGTGTTTTGAGATGTGAGACATTTGCAACGTTTAGCGCAAATGTTGTGTAGTTAGTGTGTAGTGTAGTCAATAGTTTTGTTGTGTGTGTCAGAACAATGAGGCGACTGCTGAATGTTACAGGAGTGATACATCTCCTGTTGTCAGGCCTGCAGGTATCAGGCTGTTGTTCTCCTTTATCTCATAGTGGACCGAAATTATTTTTTGGAGTGGCACAAATAATTTGTGTGGAATCAAATTTGATGCAGAACAGCTGATTGTTCTGTAAATTGTTTAAAATGTTTGTTTAAAAAACACCTTGGCTGCATTTTTAGTTAAACAGCTGCAAAAAAAAATGTTGTTTGCAGTTTATTTACTGTATTTTGCAGACAGGGAGTTACAGGACTCTCTCCCAGACCACAGACTCATAATCAGTGTTGGGTAAGTTACTTGAAATTAGTAACTTAGTTACATTAGTAGTTACTTCCATCAAAAGTAACTCAGTTACTTCATGTTACTCGTTACTTTCAAAGTAACTAGTTAATAGGGAAAGTAACTTTGGTTTTACTCAGACTTCTCTTGTTAATGTGTTGCTTTCGTAGCTGGATACCCAGCAAGATTGCCAGTCTTCTAGCTTGCTTACTTGCCACAAGTGCACTGTACCACCTACCACCAAACGTCTTCAAGCAACTTAAAGAAGTCCAGACGCTTTTCTTTGCAAGCTCCTTTGACTACCAATAGAAAGGAAAAAAATAATGTGCATATTTCCACGAGAGAAATCCCACCCCTGGACCGCCATTTACCGCCGCCATGATTCTAGCCTACGTCACTG